GATCTGTTGTTAACCGCTCAGCTACCACTGAACCACTTTCACCATCAGAACCTCTTCGGCCCAAAACAGCTCTGGAGTCCCCTAAATTTGCTACATACAGCTGGTCATTAGAAATAGCGCCAACAAGACAGCATGAGCCAACCGAAGCAATCTGTGGCGTAACCGCCAAGGATCGCTTCACTAATTGGGTAAAATCCTCTTCTGTAGCACTAAATGCCTTCTTTATCACATCCGCTGATAAACCCCCTTGCTCACCGGCAAATTCTACAAAAAGAGTTTCCCACAAATCACGTAATTGAATAATATAACACTGCGGGAGGGAGCGAGTCTACAAGGAACATATTCCACAAACCATCAAAAGATTATTTTAATTTCAAGGCAAGCCGCCACCATCAATCAGGGTTCATTCACAGAATTTGACAAGGTCGCTTGTTCCTCGGTATTCGAATGATCGATAGACTCTCCCCGTCACCATTCACGCCACCCTTCCAGCTTCTTCCTTGCCAGTTCCCACCCCACCCCACCCCTTCTAAAATTCTATTTTCGCTTTTATGCTTTGGCAGGGAGAAAAAAAAACCCAATAATGAAAAATCTTACAAAGTTACCAAACAGACACAGACATAGACACGGAGAAAGCATGCATTAGCAACTCCAAAAAAGAAAGGGGAAAGAAGATGAAGAAATGAAAAAAAATTGAGAAGAACAAAATGCAACATACTGTGTAAATAAGGGAAGAGGTGGCGGTTAACGAAGCGAGAAGCTTCAGGGCCACCGTGACCGTCGTAGACGCCGACGTAAGTGGCGGAGGGGGAAGTGTAAACTTGACTCTGGTCCTCGAGACTAGAATTAGCCTGGACAACGGCGATGGAGAAGTCACCGGAGGCGTGGGGCTTTAAGTCCATGTGCCACAGCAGCCCATCTCCTCCTCCGCCGCCGCCACTCATCCTCCCTAAACACCTCTCCAACGGCCTATAGCACGATCGCAACATCATCTATCAAATTCTAGTCCTTACGTTTGAGGTGGGGTTTTTGGCAAGAAAGATGAATACTAGTACTAGTCGTCCTCCTATCCCATATCAGGAGGAGGAGGAAGTGAACAAAACCGGGAGCAGACCGCGTAGGAAAGGAAGAATAGTGAAAGACACGCTGAAGCGGACGCGTTTTTCTACTTTATTGCCGATACGAATGCCTTTTTCTCCACTCCACACTTCATTCAAACTATAGTCCATTCCATTCTTTGATTTCGGTCTTCTTTGGGCTTTTCCAAGTTCCTTAATAAAGACTACAACTGGCCCGGCTCTCAACCATCTTAAAGGTGCTTTAGAATTTTCAATTCCGTTGACTACGATACCCTTTTATTGGTCCAGACCTGAAATTCTGTTTTTTTTTTTTTTTTTGGCACCCAGACCTAAAATTCAGTATGCGCTATTAAAGAAAAATTTTTTTAAAAAATAATTAGAAAAACTCTGAGTGCTTGGAGTTGTTGGAGACTTTGGGTACATATATGATGCAAGCAAAATATACTACTATTATTTGATAAAATTGAATTATCCAAACACACCCATTTATTGCGACCAAATTAAAACAAATCCAAATTTAAAAAAAAAAACCTAAAATCTATCTTATTTCTTTAAATAAAACTATAAATTAAAGGAAAACAAATGACCCGGGAGTTTGGAATTTTGGATATCTTCGCAGAGAAGTTAGATGGGAGGCAAAAAAGTACAAAGAAGCGGGGAGAAGCAGAAAGAGACTAATTTGTCTAAATATTATAACTCTTCAATATAGACGGGGTCAATTGGGGTTTACTCAGTGTCGTCTTCGGGAGGATCCATAGACCCATAGATCGAAGCTACACAAGTTTTCACCCATCATCATTAAGCATAATGTATTTATTCATTAGTATTTACTATTAACCCTCCAACCTGTGAGAAAAAAAAAAAAAAAAGAATTACTACTAACTCTCCAATTGTATTCGGTAGCACGGCATTACTCTATTACCAGCGTTCTTCGCCTTTGTCTAACCGTCAAGCATACCAGATAGAACTTAGAAGCAATGCCACCACGGTGGTTTTTTTTTTTTTTTGTCGACACAGGGGTGTCCGGGTCAATCCTTACGGGGTCCAACTAATTTCCTGCGGTCCGGATCCGACGCTTCAACCCGACCCGAACACGTTAAGTGTACCGAGTAATTCAGCGGAGCGGAGACTCGAACTTGTGACCTCAAAAATTCACTGGTGAAAGGCGCTACCGCTGGATCATTCATGCGGGACCACTAAGGTGATTCTTAGACATGATTGATTTTAAGCAATTAGTTACTGGAAATTGCATAGATTTTAGAATTGGGCTCCAACTTCCAACCAACCAAAAGTTCGCTGCTGGGGTCACAACAACCCAAAAAGTCAATTCAAATTTTCCACGTCCGCTGATTTTGCTCAGTCATGGTAGTAGTATTTCAAAACAGCGCCCATTACCGAGAGTGATTACTACACTCTTTCCTTTTTATTTTTTAAAAAATTTTTTTTTTTGGTCACGAGTCCTTAATAGGGCTGCAAACGAATCGAGCCGCTCGCGAGCCGCTGGAGTCAAGCTCGAGTCCAGCTCGATATTAATCGAGCTCGAGTCGAGCTCGAGACAGCTCGAGTCAAACTCGAGCTCGAACTCGAGCTCAGAATATTAAGCTCGTTAGCTCGCGAGCGGGCTCGCGAGCTTGAGTATATATATATATATATATTTTTTTTTTATTTTTATTTAATAATAAAATTACGTATATTATATATATATTTTTTTTTATTTTTTATTTTCATAGTGAAATTACGTATATATCCTTAATATTTTATTATTTCTTCAGAAAAAAATATTATTTTATTTATTTTTTAAAAAAATAAAATATTTTTTTTTATTTTTTTCGAGCTCGGCTCGACTTGATTCGAGTCGAGCTCGAGCTTGGTAAAATTTAGTCGAGACTCGGTTCGATTAGCTCAAAGCTCGACTCGACTCGACTCGTTTGCAGCCTAGTCCTTAAGGAAGGAAAGCAAATTTCTATTTCTAAAATAAATAAATTATAGTGGTGAGTGGTGACAGATTGAGATTATGCTGCCAAAGCAGTCGCCCAGCGCATTGTACTTTTGACAATGGGTACTCCGTGCCGTGTCATTTATGCTTCAACATTAACCAAGACATAGACGGTATGTCACTTCATGGAGGTTGACTGTACTCCAACTCCCAACAAAATATAGGAATTTAGGAAGGAAAAAAAAAGTTGATTCCCTTTCCTGATGTCTAATTAATAAATTGTCTGAATAGAACCTTGATTGCAGGGCAGTGCCTGAGCTGTTTTGCTTGGTAATATTTCGATTGGACCAGCTTTGATTGAAAGTTTAATGGTAGTAGTAGTTAGGTGAGCGGGCGGTTGAGAAATAGCTGAGTCTTTTCTCGGATGCCTCGACTTGCGTGATCTGTGCTCTAACTTTTCATATCTGGACAATTTGCAATCGCCAGTTCATCCGTCCTGTTCTTGGCCAGTCGCAGTCGGTTGGCCTGCGTCTGATTATGAGCAGAAGCCGCAAGAATTCTGAAAATATAGCATATGATCACCGGCACCGCCCGCTGAAACGAATTTCAACATTTTTGGTGCAAGGAGGTCCGTATCATCAACCTAACAATCATGATGAGTCAACGAAATCGCAGATAAAAATTTTTATAAGTGCATCGAACCCCGCAAAGCCATTTTCCATATCAACAAAACGTGCTTAAACAAATGCAAAACGCCTAATTACCCTTTATTCCAACCGATAGAATCATACGAGTGTGACCATCCCACAATTCCATCAAGGAAAATTAGAACTTGACATGCGCTGCCACCTTTAATCACTTGTTTTTCTATAAATGGTTCCTCGCTTATATATCACCGTCAGAAATTGTTTACCAGCATCTGTCCAAAAGAGTTGAGACCTCAACTATTGAGGAGGATCATACCCCGTGGCCGACAGGTTATGCAACACTGTACTTGGTGTTGGTGTAACAAAAATCAGCACGAACACTTGGCATTGAAGACAATATCTTGTCGGGGCGCTAGCAACATTGCGTTACAGTGAGTGGGATTGCTACAAAACTTGATTAGATTTTGGTTACATACATAGCACTTTATGCAGAAGTAGGGTAGGGAAAGTCATCAAATCAAATCACTGCATGTTAACGGTCGACCTTGTTTTAGTGTCAGCTAACAACCGTTTGTGCCCCAATCTTTTTTCTGCATACACAACCGGTGGCCTGGTTTTAGTGTCAGCTTTACCAATCTTAAAAACGCCACCAATGCAATGGCTCTTATTGTTTGGTCGATCAATGGGTGGATGTGACTCATTTGTCTGTGTTAGTAGCCTGCATTACATTAGCGTTGTACCTGTGCGGATTGCTGCATCAAACAACTTTAGTCTTCCCAAGTAAACTGTCAACTTCTGTGTCTTGTAAATGTACCAAGGAGAATACTCGCTTAAATTCATCACTTGACCGTCAATCAAGGAAGTTTTCTTCTCTGAAGCTCTCGATCTGAAGTTGCTTTTGCATAGTTCTTTCTTTATGTGTCACATTATCAGAAAGACAGGATAAGAATGTTCTTGATTAATCGCGAATTAGACTCTTTGATCCAAGTGTAGACCATGCTCAATTGTGGTTCGTCAATTTCACGATGTCCCATTAGTGACTTTTAACATGTGATTTTAGAAGTGTTTTGCTTTGGATCTTGTGATCTTTTTCCGGAGTTATAATCTCACACTTTCCTCATTTTTCATACATAAGACAAAAGTTTGATTTAGGTCAGTCATCATGTGGTTCTGCCACTCAACCTGACCAGCTATGCCAGAGGCCATCCTGACTCTGACTGCCCCAATTGCAACTTCAGGAGATCAACGGAATGGTCCTCATACCACACGCCAACCTCTTTAATTTGATTCCACATTTTATTTGCTATATAGAAGGTCAATTTGATGACAAGAAGGAAGAAACATGTAAAGTAAAAATTTGTAATCTTCAGGTATTATTTCAGTATTTCAGATAGACTTCATAAACATTTTCAAACCATTAGAGATGATCTAAGTAGCCCAAAGCGAAATGCCAAAAATAAAAGCCAATAAGTCAATCGAACACAATCAAATTTTGGAGTTCTTTTCTGCGAAGCGCGGATCTCATCAGTTCCTCTGGTGTTGGAACCATCTTCAACATCTCCTCCGGCGTTGCGAACTCACCTTTTCTCAGCCATGCATTTGCCCAACTATCAGAAAATCCCTTAACAATAACCAAACCATCAAACTTCTTTACCTGTGGGACACTAACGCATTCTTTAACATCCCAAAACACAATCTCCGGCAATTTCTCATACCCTCGACTCTGATACTTACGTACGCTTGCCCACGTTGCCCAAAAATTATTTGCAGCCTTCTCAAAGTCCACATCAGTGAAAACACATATCTTCTTCACCATCCTATCCAAACTCATATTTCCAGCAACTGCAGCTTCTAGAACTTGATCGAAAACCTTGGAAAACCTTATATTTTCACATTGCCTCAATTTTCTCATGAACTCAATCTTTGATCTCAGATCACTTCCTTCAATCCTGCAAAATATGGGGTCAGTGCCGAATGTGAGCACTTTTCCCTTCCAAGGCTCGTCACTGATTTCTGAGATCAGCAACCCTATACCGAGAGCAAAATCCATTGCTGCATTTCTAGTGCCTCCTGACACATTGTAAATGGCCAAACAGTTTCTCCATTCTTGTTTCTTGGCACAAGCTTCCACTATATTGCGCCATCGAATCTCTACGGCGTCATATTGAACACTTTCATCATTCAAGCAAGCGACAATATGATGAGGGCCAACCTTGCTTCTACCCTTAGTGTATATATCCAGCAAAATTGTTAATCTTTCTTCACTGTCTCCAGTCAAAAGCCTTTTGTCCTTTTGATAGAGCATGAACAACTTTTTACCTAAATCTTTCTTTGTTGTTGGCATTGTTACTCGGTCTGCTCCAGCTTCGAGGGCTTTGCGGAGAGGAACAAGGACTTGTTTACGTAAACGATTTCGGACTCTATAAGCATAGTGGGTTTCGTCAATCTCCTTATACTCCTCATCAGATTCAGGCGGAAATAGCTTTCTTGCAATTCCCTCGCATATCAGGGTCGATTTATCACAAACAGAATCAAGAGAGGGACATAATTTGGAAGCCATGCTAAGCTCGTCAATTCTTCCCGAGGCCAAAAACTGTAGATCATCCCTAAGAAGATCAGCGAACAAATTTGAAATTTGATTGTGCAAGAAACGATATTGCGCATCATGTACGTACTTCTCTAGTGCTGATCGAGCCCTGCTGATATCTCTTTGTTTCTTCAGTATTGTGCATGGAATCTTGTCTGAATTCTTGATATCTGCCATTGTTCCCGAACCCTTAGAGGGGTCCAGAATTCTGCATAAGATCTCAAGCGTATAGTCTAAAAGCTCTAAACTCGAAAATATGCTAATATTGCATGCAAGAGTTAGGTGATGATGCTGGTGAAGCCACAAAATTGCAGGCAAAAAAGCTAGTTTGTTAGAGTTTCCGAAGTTGAATATGATTTTAAGGGTCGTCAGGGGGTTGTGCCTCCAAGCACTCTCTAGTAGAATGGGGAGGTTTTGGAGCGAGAGGTCACAGAAAAACAAGTCCATGCAAGGGCTTCTTGGGGATGTTGGCTCTTGATCAATTGGGGAAAGGGGGCTTTCATCTTGAACACACAGGTTATGAATAAATGGTGGGCCAAGAAGAATGGTTGGAGGAGCCATACTGGCTTCACAACTCGAGCAGGAGCAATGGAATCTATTTATAGGGGGAGGATTTCTTGGGCAGCAAGCTGCAAAGTCCAGGGAATAATATGGAGTAAGGCGGTGATCACACTGCGTTAGCTTACTTGTCTTTTGGGCTACGGCTTGCTGTACAATTTTGTCCCAGCACTTTATTTGCCTAATTTTTCTCATTTCCTTCCCACCTTTTCTGGGTGAGCTTACCGGCAGTTAAGACGAGTTCCTCAATTCGTCAATTCATCCTTTACCCGCTCCTGTTGAGTTGCCTCATTTCAAACACACCCTGAAGGGCCTAAACAAAACGAAAACGAAAACGAAAACAAAAGCAGAAGTCAGATAACCCAAAAGATTGAACAGGACTTGAACCAACTTTTCCTTCTTTTTTGTCTGCTAATACGGAGATGGCTGATGTACGAGGGGATTTCGTTTGGATTTTGGACATCGATGGGCGCTTTTTGAGTGGTAATGTAGAGTGTGTTTGAATTGTAAGTTATTTGTTCAAATATATTTGCTTACATCATCATTATAATTTTCAATACACCTTTTTATCTTCCCAATTATCTTTTTATCTCACATACATCACATCACAAAAAGTGTTACAGTAAAAATATCTCAAATAACTTACAATCCAAACACACTCGTAGTTGTGACCTAAATATGGACTTTATATGTTAATCATGTAACATTTAATCGGCCCCCTACATGCAAATTGTTACCGGCTAGCATGTCGTTATACTAGAATTCATGCATCCTTCCGACGGCTTTGCAATCTTTTTTCCAGGGAAGAGCCTGACGTGCATCATATTTTAACGGTGTTTACATAACAGCGACCTAGGAGAAAACTGCAGCAAGCCAGATAAGTGCTTCATTCTTATAATTGCAAAAAGATAAATTTCAACGTGGATATTACAAGTAATTAAGATTCGCATATAATACGCTCCCAGTTTTAATTCTTTCGATATATTTGGACAATTGAAACCAGGTTTACTCACCGAGTAATGGCATAGAAACATGGAAGACGAAAGACTTGGTGAAAGGAAGGGAGACTTGATACACAGGAGGCATAATGGCAGCTCACAGGCACAAACAAAAATCTCCAGCTGACATTACTGGCAAATGGGAAGATGGTAAGGACTGACTAGTTAGCTTCCTGGAACACCGGGATTCCATTTAGTCACTTCCAAGATGAAGCAACGGCTCTGACCTATCCCGTCATCCAAAACTTAACCATGGTATGAGATCAAGTTAATAGGCAACAGATTACACTCTTTCTTTGGCTCTACGACCAGTAATTACAACAGCTTTTCGACAATTAGGGCAGTCCCCACAGATCCGCACCCAGGGATCCAAGCAGCAGAAGTGGAACCTATGCCCACAAGTTAAAAATATCAGCTTATCTCCCTCCAGGAAGCTCTCAAGACATATGCTACAATCCTCTAATCGCCTTGCCGTTACCTCTCCATCACTGTTATCAGATTTACTGAATATCTCAACTTTCAAACTGTCTAGAGCCTCTTGAGTGAGTCCTGGAGGTCTCTCGGACTTTTCTGTGGGAAGGATGTCAGTGAAGGAAACTGATTCAGCTAGCCACTCTCTGGAAATTCCATTATCCCAGTCCCCAACATCAGCAAGCCTAAAATCATCCTCGACAGCAAAGTCATTGTGATGAATGCTTGATGAAGGCCGGTGCCTTTGCCTACAGGTAAGACAGCAAAAGTCCAAGTAATCTGAATGTCAGAATATCTTTCACTACATGCAAAAAGAAACATATAAAACAGTGTCTACAAAACAAATTTTTTCTTTCCACACGTTTCGCTGTTAAAGCATATGAGACAGCACAAAAGGCACTTGATCTGCAAAATAAGTTCACAGAAACAAATAGGCAGATTCTGTCATTCTACCAAATCTGCCTCTTCCCTTTACACAGCACAGCTGTAAGATTTGCAACTAAACTACTACATGATTTGTCAGTGGACATTAAAGCAACGGGAAATAAAGTAAAAAGTTCAAACAATAAAAAACAAAAGCAGATTGCTTAGGAACAATACGGCCAAAGTTCTTTAAAAGTTTTACAGTAAGATACTTAATCTGGAGACTAGAAAAGGCCAAAAGGAAGGTCTTCTTCATACAGAAAATTCCAGAAGAGGCCAAACAAAATGGGAAGTAGCCTATCCTGATGAAGCAAATGCTTGAGGTGTGCTAAATTGCTCCCCAAAACCATACCATAGACCAATGTCGTCAAGATCTTTTAAGTGAACTTTCTGCATGAAAACATTCTACTCTGAATGCTTTAAATTTGCATCTGTTCCAAAACAGTGTTGTCACCCTGACAGTTTCATGTAATCCTCTAGCATCCACGAGAATTCAGATAGGGTGGAATTGCATTTATTGCCAATCTACTGTTATCCTTTCCAACTAGACATCATATAAAAGAAACTAGGAATCCCCAAGCAAACAGAATCACATGAACAAAATGGGACTTAAGAAGGAGGATGAGGATTAAGAAGATGGAAACTGAAGCACCCATTAAGTTAGTCTATACACACAAATGATAAATTCTACTACTGCATATCAAAATATATTGTCTATTCTTGTCTAATTGCCGGTTTATTAATTGAAATCCAAGGAAAAATTTTCACAAGTCAAAAGAAATATTGGAATGCATAGGCCCTAGGTGCATATATCAAAACTGAGAACCTGTGACCATTTTTTCATAAAGGCCCTGTATAAACTCATAAATGAAATTACCACCACAACAAGAAAAAGCTCCTAGAAAAACAAAAGTTGCAAACTCAAAAAGCTTTGCGGATCAAAAGTGGGAGAAATAACCTATTTGCAGATAAAGAGACTCCTCTCAGCCTCTGCAGAAGCCTCTCTCTTGCAAGAAGCACAGTTCCTGGAAGCCTATCATTACCAGAAGACCTCAGCCCACCCCTTAAGGCGTCCACAGATTCAGAATTGTTAACCTCTCCCAAGGCAGAAGGACTGCTACCTTGGTCCAGCCAACCTGATTCATGGTCCTATGCACAGAAAGAACTTAAGCATAAAACTTTCCAGCCAGCAAAAAGATTTTATTGGTGTTGGGGAATGGGATGTAAAAGACTGGCAATGCCCTTAAACAAGAGAATACAGGGTCACCCTCCTCTTAATAAGATGGAAGTCAAGGGAAAAAAGCACACAAACCACCTGAATAATGCAATTTCGTGTCTACAGATTACACACAGTTACAGCTGCCTCATTCATTTGTACCTCATATTTTTCGGCAGATTAATTAAGTGCAGAGTAAGTACACAGGCAAGCAAAATCCCCATTAGACAGAAACTTCAGATTGAAACCTGCCAAAATAATAAAGAAAGTGGTGTTTCATAAAGTTGTGCATTCAAACTCTGAGGATAATCACACTCCTATTGCCAGGTGCTATCAAATCCAGATTGAAAGGTTTCATCAACTGGTAGAGAATGACCGCTGCTCAAACAGCATACTTAAGTTGAGCAAGTTGGAATCAAGTAGCCAGCAAATTTATTGTGTTCAATTGCGGTCCCACAGTGTAGAAGGTTATATTAGAACTGCTTCGATGTGGAATTCAAATTTGTAGGTGCTTTGAATGTCAATATCGAACAACAAAGAGGAGGATTCCTCACATTAGTTGAGGTAATGGGTCAAGCTTGCCCCCACCACAAGGCACAGAGACCTCTCATGGTGTGCCACTAAACTGAGACCATTATATATTACAAGTTACAGCAGACATCAAGTAAGTATGATTACACCGGCCAAAAGCAAGTGGACCACCATACCACTTGCTCATGCTAAAATCAAACAAATTTCTCCCTCGATAAATTAGTAGTCTACCTAATTAACTAAAAGCAAAAGTAAAAATTTTTAACTCGGAAGAAAAAAAAAAAAAAGAAAGTTACATAAAAACACGTCCTTGATACAAAAGGATATCCACCAGTTTGTTCGACATTTATCCAGTTTTTTAGCATCAATTCGATCAATTATAAACATAAACTACACCACACAGACACATCATGTATAATTTATAAGAAATAATAAAGTAAAAGTTAAGGTATCTCATACAGGAAGAAGGTGGCGATGAGGTAGGTGATGCCTAGGGTGAGGAGGGCGCCGAGGGAGAGGATCACATCCTTCAATATCGAGGCGATTATGATGATGACGTCGTGAATTAAGACTAGTAGTAGGAGTGGTACCGTGATGGTGAGTGACGTGATAGCGGTGGCGACGACTATTAGGGTGAGGAATTCGGTGAAGATGGGAGGAGGAATCAAGCGGCGGCTCCTCTCCTCCTCCGTCTCCAAGGTCGAGGAGGCTGCTGCTGCTTCGACCAAAGCGAGACCTCCTGGCGTGAAACAGCTCCGACGCGCTCGTCATGCAAATGCAATTCAATCAATTTCCACCAGCCGGAGCAATAATTAAACCGAAACCTAGAAACAAAATTTTTTTAAAAAAATTTTGCGTTACTCCAATTAGCTTTAGTACAATTCAAGCTGAGATGCGGATAAAGAAAAGTGATTTTTCAGATGAGGAAGCGATGAAAGAAGTTTGAATCTGATTGGGGGAAATTTTGGGAGGAGTGGTGAAGCGAGATGATTGGTACAGTACTTAATAACTAAGGGACCAACTACCAACAACTAAAATTCTGGATTCTAGTCCTCCTAATTCCTCCGCGTTTTTTAAATCCCAACCTCTTCTGGATACAACAAGCAATTGGATCTGTTTAATGCTAGTTTGGTCTCAAGAGAAATCACTGTGGATTTCAATCTAACAGTCCAGAGGAAAACTTTTGTTAAACAACAAGTCCGTTAACTGAAACAATGTCATTTATCCTATTCCTAGCTTGGGCTTGCGACAAATCATGATGGGCCTCTGTGCAAATATATCAATAATAGCCTTTGTCCAATAGGCGGTCCGTTTAGAAGATTCACTACTCAACAAATACCGAGAATCCTAAGTGAAAATGTTATGAGATCCACTAGATAATCTTCCTTGCGTTGGCTACCTTGATAATTCCATAATGGCTAGTTTGGGGGTTAAGGATAGAAAAGAAAATAAGAGAAATCTCAAGTCATGAGAGAAAAGAAAGGGTTAAAAAAGAAGATGAGATATTTTAACATTATTTGAGAGTTATAAAAAGAATGAGATGATTTGGATACGAATATAATTAAAATTTTGGATTAATCTTTTATATGCTAATAATGTATATATTTTCATCATTAAATGCATGACATGGAATCCGAATTTGAATTTAAAATTCAAATTTTACATATATGTCGTATGTCCAACCATATTAATATATACACCGTCAGTGTATATAAAATTCACTTTAAAATTTTAGTTTAGAAGTTAGTACAAAGTTTTCTCCAGCTTTCCATCCAAATCAGGTCGTACGTTGGGGAGGAGGGGGAAGAGACTTTTGAATCTATAGTTGTAAATCTGTCCTATTCCAGGCCTTTCCACTCTTTTTCCATCCTGAAGAAACTCGCAAGCAAAGGAAAAGTTCAGATATCTCTCCCTTTTTCTTCTTTTTCATATCATATCCAAGCTCCCAAACAAACAGTGAGACCTCATAGCCTTGGAGACAACTCTAGGATCACGTGGTACCCTTTTCTTTCTAGGATCACTTGATACTGGTGTTTCCATGCCACGTTGTTTGCATCCGCTGATGGAGTCGATACAATTGTCTCCAATCATCATATCGATTGTATGTAACATTAGAACTAGGAGGAATAACCGCGGCGTTGCGCGGTGGAATAACCAGCATGCATGCCCATTTAGACGGGTTTAAGAAGGGTTTATATAGATGGTGATGGTCTGGTTGGATTAAATATTAAGAGTACAAGACATTCTAAAATCGATCACTGCAAGTAAGTATGAAGGAAAAAATGAAATTTGATATGATGTAGAAGGGAAAAGATATATGGTAAAATAAATAGGTAAAATAATGTTAAGAAGGTCTATTGAAGATTGAGGCAGCTTTAAGAAAGCACTACATTGATAGTTATAATGTCATATAATTAAATATCTAGAGGTTTCTATACATATGATTAAATTTTTTTTTTAGATTTATATACTCATCGATGGTAGAATGAAGAAGGAAGAAAAAAAAGTGGAGCTCAATAGAAAGATAAACCAAGGGAAACAATTTAGAAATATGAAAACCAGCCAGC